CCTTTGCCTCTGTGAAAATTATAAATAAAAAAATGAGTAATTGCGTCAACATCATCAAAAATCAAGAATAACGTTCACAGTCATTTTTTTTTGTGGCCACGAAGAAAGAGCCTTATATCCTATTCACTACAATACCCCCCAGGGCATCACCGAATTTGGGATTTCGGAAACTGGGAAGAACCGTCCACGAAGAGCTTTCATTTCCCAGACATTTTGCACCTAGTAGCATCGTATCTTTCGGATATACAATGACAACAAATTAATACAGTGAAATACTCACCCGGTCCTTTCCACTGCACATTTTTCGCCTTTAATAAATCTACGTTCTTCTGTTCGAACTCTCTGCCAATGGCGACTGATGAAGTCATTTTAGTTTTGAATTTTGTTACGTGTAAAAATGTAAAAAAGTGAAAAAGTGAAGTTCGAGTGGAAAAATTTATTGTTCGGTTCCATTAAATCATGCTGGGCGTAACAAAATAGGATATTTTTATTCAGTTATAATGAAAGAAATATGGTTATTATTTATTTTAAAAATCATATTGGCGCTTTGCAGTAGAAAGGGAGGAAACTACCAAAAAAATTTTTTTTGTTAAAAATTTTTTTTGGTAGTTTCCTCCCTTTCTACTGCAAAGCTCCCATATATAGCTTTATAAGGTAATACAAAAAGTTGTAGAGTCGGGTCACTCAAATGGGTGTATTATTTTCCATATTGGGTAGTATATCACGTGTTATGATGTCAACCTGCCCTAAACTAACAATTCAGTATGACAAACCATGCTCAACATCATAACACGTGATATACTCTCCCAACTTTTCGTATCACTCGTAATGTAACCCCGAACATATAAAATAATGTTTAATCAATAAAAATTTCGTATATTTATGTAGTTTTTGCAAAGTTCCCAACACTAGAGCATATGCGATGTACAAAATAAATCTCTATAAAATTATTTTTTATAATATCGATTAAACTTATATTTTGAGTTATAGTAACATAACATATGAAGGAAATCATAATATTGAGTACTATATAGTTACACCACATACTTGTTTAGCACCGAACTCCACTCCGGCGGAAAAATTTGCGTAACAGGTTTGATCTTACTGCTACTCCAATTTATTTTTTATTTAGCATAAAAATCAATATTCTTTTAATAAGCGATTTTTATGTTTAAAATTCTGCGAATATACTTCACTTGTTTGAAAAAAGAACATTAATGCAATTAATTTTTTTAACTAACTATATTTAGGTGGATAAAGATCATAAAAATTTTTTGAAAATAGACAAAAATTTTGAGGTTATGAACAAGGGCGTTACCTCTTACTCTCACCTAGTTGATAATCCAACATGAGTTACCTTATCCGGATCTTCATCATAACCTGTATATGGGAGCTAAGCTATTAAAATCACCTTACGGGACCCCACCAACCAAAATTGAGATTTTTGATTCATATTATTA